CTGGGACTCATTGCTACCAATTTTTGGTTTCTCATTTCAGATTTGAAAGTAGAACAATCTGACCATTGTAATACTTGATATGCTACATATGATCAGTGATTTTAATTCCCTCTGGAGAATAAACTTTTTTAGTACAGTATTATTTATAGTCACATCAATACAGTTTTTTGCTCACAAAATGTTAGTGGCAAATGAACACACTTTGCATTTTAAACAAGTACATCTGAGTTTTTTACGCCAACAGCCGGCAGTCCAGATGCAGTGAGGACCCTTATGACGAAGGGGAAACAAAGGAAAGCCATTAGAAGAGAAAGACTGCCAGCTCATTAAATGGGTTGTTATAATGTCAGCTGCAGGTAATTAGTCTGTCTTGGCTAGTCTTCATACAATAAAACAGGTTTTATTTGTAGTGCAATACACTATTAGTAATATCAGTTTTAACCCTTTGAAATAGAGGCTTGAAATTGTTCAGGAAAGAAAACATATTGACATGTTTTTAGCATAAGTACAAAAGACTCTTGAAATCTGGATAATCTAATAGCTTGTTTTGTCTGTAGGTCAGCAGATTGGGCAGGTAGAGGCTGTTTCTTTTTGCACCGTACTTATAATAGCCACAACTCAGTGGTGCACACTGGTGGACTTCACGGGGGGATTGGAAGTAATTATACTCTGGGACAGGCTGCGCCCTCACTGGATTTTGCTGTACCAGTTATTGAGTTAATGATACCACAGAGATCTAATAATATAGTAATATAGTTTGAGCTTAATACCCAAAATTACAGCTTGTAGCATAGAGTAAATATTTGAGATGAGGCCAGTTTTTCCATTGTATGTTGACTGTGTTTATCAAGACATGCAATTTTGTAACAGTAATAATATAGGGATGTTTTCTATGTGACGCATACTGTATTAACAGAAATACATTTGAGGTAAACTTGCAATTTTTTCTGATGCTTGTTAATATAAAACAATGCTGCCAAAACTATGTCTCCTGCATTGTAAAAACACACCCACACACACGCTCAAAATACTTCCTCAATTCATTATTTTGTCCCTGCACGACTATCATTACGGTCACACAGTGACTTAAGGGCTATCTGAGCTCCTGTTGCTTAGGTTACCCGTTATTGCCCCTCTCACTCAGTCTGGTCATGCGTGTCCCCATGCTGATTGGTCATGCCCTAAACTCCCTCAGCCTGGAGGATGATATCATCTAAAAGTGTGACATCTTTACTGAAGTCTCCGGCAGCAGCCATGTGTTGTTTTTATGCAGTGTGTTTACTGCTTCATGTCGTCATCCGCCAACACATCTTTGCTTTAATTTTAAAGACAGGTCACACATGTTAGGGTGCTGAATGACTTGTTCATGCCTGTTACTGCATGAACCTGTACAGTGGTGTTTATTTCCTGTGTACATTTGATGACTTTGTTAGGGATAAGACTTTAGTTTCCATCCCTGTCAGATTGTTATTTGATTTTTCTGCTTCATCGCAGTGATGAGTGAAGGAGTGGCTGACAGGATCCCTCACTGCAAAGGTCTTCATCCCAGTTCAAAGCCAACATTCAGTGATTACATGGACCAGTTTGAGCTGCTTCCTGCAGAGCTCCCAGGGTGAATCCTGTCTGAAATGTTGATGATGTTATTATCAAAGGTTTTTTAGATCCGCTTTCTGCTTATGCAGCATAAGTTATACACACATTTATTGTTATGTAGCACTTTCACCACACGATGATCACACAGAGCTCTCAGCTCTTTGGTTTAAGTTTCAGTGTGTGGGCGTATGTAAGAGCCTTTTAGAGAGGACGCCATTTTTTGCTGTTAGTAAACCAAGGTAGGATTGAGTAACTCTTTGTTGATTATGTCTGGACTCTCTCTTCATTCATGCACCATGCTTCCTTTTTTCCTTTAACTTGAGCTTACTGTTCCAGACAGCAGCTCATCTGCGGCTCAAAGCTCATGGACAGTGACCCAGTGTGGGTCAAAGGTCACTGAACGTGCCACAGATCAGCCAGAGCTGAGAATCATAAGTGAGGTTGATCTTAAATTACCTTCTGCCAAGCTTTTCTCTTTCTCTTAGTTTGAAGGAATTTGATGGGTGTTTTCTTGATAGGTCATGAAAACAAGTTAAACATCATTGAATCAACCTCCGAGGTACAGCATAGGACTTCTTTGGTATTGCTTCTTCTCAGTAGTAGTAGTAGTAGAACCTTTTTTTTATCCAGGAAAATCAATCAATCAATCAGTCATGTGAATTGATTGAAATGAGCCAGTTAAGATCATGCAAAGCTACAGTATATATCAAATTGACACGGCAGTTTAAATCAGATCCGATAGCAATTTGAGATATTAGTCTTAGTCTGTTGCCCTGCAAGCTAGATTTGCTTTGAGTAAAAAATGTTTAATGTAGCCTTTTGTATATTTTATGTTTGCCAAGTCCACATGATTTCTCCAATATCTGTGTGCAATCTCCAATAGTAAAACAACTCCCTGACCCCTTACAGACCGCCTACCCTCTTGTTCCTTAATATTCAGCTTTAAGAAAATTAGGCTGAGGATAAAAAGCCTTGCGTTGTGTCCAGTCAGCACCCCCTCCCGACAACCCAGACCAACCCCCCCTCCCTCTGCTGTTTTTCTCCTCCACACTGACACCAAGCTGCTGAGAGACCCTCAATATGAAAGCTCATTGGCTGTGTGTGTGTGTGTGTGTGTGTGTGTGTGTGTGTGTGTGTGTGTGTGTGTGTGTGTGTGTGTGTGTGTGTGTGTGTGTGTGTGTGCTTTCTTTGGTATGTGGACTAGAAGTGCCCATGGTAACCCGTAATCATTTTCCCACAGTCCTCTGTAGCTAACATAAAGGCTGAAATAATTGGCTTTTTCTGAAGTTGATCTCCAAACAGTGACCCGTGCAGAGACACTAACGTCACATTAAACGGTGCCAGAAGCACCATCAGCCTGCTGTGCACACAGAGATTTTATTGATATTCTGATTTTGTATCTGTCATCTTATTGCTGTTTCTCGCCTTACTATGTTTGCTTCTCCTATTGTTTGCAACGTGTTCACAGATAAGTATGTCCACTATCTTCAAACTGAAATGTTCCTTATTTCTCTGATAAGCGATTGCTTGTACCTGAATAAACATCAATCACTGCCTCAGGTGACACTTCAAAGTTGTAGCTTTTGAAGTCAAGGTAGTTACGATACAATAATAGTTATTGTCAGATGGAGTCTGACATTTTTCTTGCATCTCGGCAGCTCCTTTTGCAACGTATATAAGGACAAATATTTTTAAAAAGATACATGGAAACAGACATTTAACATAGCATCACATAACTGAAGAGAAACAGGCTCAAGACCTTCTATCGTACGTTTGACCTGGGATTTGACTTTGTATCTAATTTGAAGATTGACTGGTGCACAAATGAAAACTTCAGTCTGACCTTATTAAATCATAATATTATCAATCATCATTCTTATTTGACTTTTATTAATGATTATTAAAGTAATCTATCTTGCAAATCTCTGCCCTTGCTTAAAACCATATCACTCACTCATGCTGCCTTAAATAACATCAGTTTACGTCTGTAATATTAGAGACACAAACACAGTAGCAGGTTTGAGTTATGGAGTGTGACATAAACAGAGCGGAGTGAGGAAGAGACTGTAGGAGTGAAGTGGGACAGATGTCTTGCATCGTCATGGAGAATGTAAGAAAACACACAGCAAGTGTAATAAAATGCACAAAGCTTGGAGACAGCAGTGATTTAGTAACAAAGCTATGGCTGCCTCCGAAGATATTAACAAGAATCAGTTTCACATCTATGCAAAGAAATGCTAAATGTTTTACCACTGCTTTTTAGATCAAGCTCTTTTAACTTAATATTTTAAATGACAAATGATATTCATGCATGATAGCATGCGAGGTTGTTTATTATAATGAATACAAGTAGTATTTCCATTGCATTTCCATTGCTCCCTCTATGAATATGCTTCTTCTCGAATAATAACAACCACGTTTGTTTATATAATGTAAAAAAATGTACAGAATTGTTGTCACATATTCTCACTTTTTACCTGCTTGTTATACTGTCACTGAATCGTTGCCATTCAAAGAATAACTGTTTAAAATTGGCACAAAAAAAGCTTTATATGATAAAGCTTGTAATCGTTCTTTAGTTGTAGACGTTGCGCTCAGATGAGATGTTCACTTTCCACTCATCGCTTGGGGTGAGGAATAAATGCACATGCTCTCGTCATTTCTGCCTCTAAATGTCAAGGACATTTTTCTGCCATTTAAAAATAGATTCTCTATCTGAACTATACATTTGGTCCAAGGGAGGTCAAGGAATAATTAGAACATGAGATTCAGAAGAGGAAAAACATCCCTACAATCATCTCTGTGGTCACTATTGTGTGTTAGGCCTGTGTGTTTTCAACAAGAAATCTGTGCATCTGTGTACCTATATGGAGGTGCATTAAGTGTAAGCGATTTTGAAAATAAGAAGCCCGGAAGTTGTCAAATCTGAAAACTGTGCTATAAACGTGATCGCTCCAAATTGAAAAAGATGGTACAGCTCAGAAAACACATTTTGTTTCTGAGTGATGAACTTCTTCCCGCTCCTCAAGAATGGACATATGTATGCTTTGAAATGAACTCTATGACGGAGAGGGATTAAGAGAGGGGTTTGGTGGTTGCTAGGTGATGTGACAGGCATTCTGTTGCCATGGCAGGCTCCGTCACAGTGCTGATTTGTGCGTGAAACCTGCACCCAGAGTGTGTTGACACACTCTGTGTGTGTACATCGAGTCGTTTGGCAATATATTTCACACAAAAAAGTATCTGAAAGTGTTTACATGATAAATAAGGCAGGATGATCATCGATTTAAAAACATGCTGAACCACTGATGAGCAAATCTCTCATTGTCTCCTCTTTCTTCCTACATCTCTTTTTCAGCCATTAAACACTGTCTACTGTTTATATTTCCCCCCCCCCCTTTCTCCAGATGAGTAACAAGCGCTCCAACAGTTTCCGGAGGGCCATCCTGCAGGGGAGCCGGCAGCTGAAGGGCTGCAGTCTCAGAGATGAGGCGGGGCTGGGTCTGTCTCAGCGTCTGGTCCGACACGTCGCCTACGAGACGCTGCCCCGAGAGGTCGACCGCAAGTGGTACTATGACAGCTACACCTACTGTCCCCCACCCTGGCTCATCCTGGCTATCACCATTGCTGAGGTAAATAGTTTAGCAGGTTAAGACCAATATGTGTTCTTTAAGATCTCTTATTAAAGGTACGTGAGATTAATTTGACAACTTTTGGCATTATGAAGCAATTTTTTTAAAGAGCCAGCCCATACACAAGGGGTAACATGTACACAGAGTTAACAGTTATTTCAACTGTATGCATACCGTACAACACAAAACAATTGAATTATGTCATTAGTTTAAAAAAAAATTAATTATAAGACCTCTGTTCCGAGCACATCCAGAAGTATAGCATTTACTAGCAAAAGTCAGGAAAGCAGCTAGCCAATGTAAATATGGATGATGGCAATGCAAGAATGGACACATCATGTTTCAAAACAAGTAAGTTACATTAAACAAGTAATAACTTGACAAAATCATACCTAAAGTCCCGCATGATAACCTGCACTTCTCTGCATATTGCAGATTCTTACAATTCATTATGTGCAATATATATTTTCATCATCTCTTTTTAAATGTTTGTCATATGTCATTGTTTGTTCATATAAAACACATTACCTACAAAAAAATCGTGATATATAATTTGCTCTAATGTCATTTGGGTGTTTGGTGTTTGGGTTCCACTTTCATATAATCCCAAAAGCACTTTGGTCTTCTTTAAGATGTTGAGCATTATTTCTTATGTGTTGTATAGTGTGTAGACTGCTACCACTCCTCCTATAGTCACACACTATCCACCTGTGTTCCTCAGGTAGCCGTGTTCATGTACTATGGCTTCCAGCTGGACCGCCTGGTGCTGCAGGTGTCCAGCCCGTCCTTCCTGAAGAGCCCCTTACCGTATCACCCCCAGCTGCGAGCGCAGGCCTGGAGGTACCTCACCTACATTTTCATGCACACTGGGTGAGTTCACATTTCTCTATTTTCATGTGCTGTATTATCTCAAGAAAGAAATGCCACAATAACACATTTTTTATTTCTTAAATTGTTCACCTCATGTCATGTGATCAGGGGAGCGCGTGTGAGACAATGGGGAAATAACATATTGATAGTTTAACACAAACCTAACATATCTTTCATGCTCTGGTGGTTTTTGTTTATTGCATTTAAACATTCAGGGAGTGACAGCTTGTTGCATAATGATAAGCAACAAAACAACAAAAATACACAGTGCTATTCATTTCCAGCGAAACACACCATCTAAAAGCAATTAAATCCTTTTCAGTTATGAAGGTAAAATCCAGATGAGGGATTGGGACTTGTTACTGAGTCTTTGGATGCATTTTGTAAACGTAGATTAATTCACTATGAGCAAAGTTACACAACAAATAAGCAAGTGACAAAAATACTTAAAGTATCATGTTTTAAAAACAAGCATTATTTAATTGTTGGAACAATGTGTATATATCACAATACTGCTGTCATTTCTGAGTGCAGAGAACATTTATCACTATCATTTTATTAAAACCATCACGATACTTCCTTTTCTCTTCTTTTGGAGAGCTGATTCTTAATTTCTAGAGCTTTTTGATTGTTTACTGGCTGTGTGTTTTCAGTTTTTTTTTGTTTGTTTGTTGTTCTCTTCCCTCAAGTGAAGAGGTAAAAGTGGTATGCTGAAAGTGCAATATAAAAGGGACCTTAAAAACCTCTCCTCTGCTCTCCTCTCCCACTACAAGCACCAGCCTATTTTATTACCCGGTCAGGCAGGTCATCCAGGTTTAATTAACCTTCTGGGTAAATGTAGTCTCAGGCAATAGTGAGAAATAATAAAATGGTAATTTAATTAGGAGAACGTGGTAGGTGCCAGGGAGAGACGGTAGGGATGACGGTGTGTGATAGGATGAGACAGAGGGGATGAATATTAGGATAAAAGGAGGGAGGTGGTGTGTTTAACGTGCACTAATTACACAGGAACATATCGAAATGATTTAGGCACTCAAGGGAAGAGGCTTACAAAAGAGCTTTTGGGAATGAATTTGTGTCTACCAATGTGTCCAATTACAGTATGTGGTGTTGTATGATATTGCTGCTTCAGCTCCCATCTGAAAAGGGCTGTCCTGCTGCGAGGTAAAGCGGTGACAATATTCTGAAGATATGGTTCACTAAAACTGGTATAGATTTTTTTAGGTGGGCCTTTCTTTCTAGGTGGCATACATATGTTTTGCTGCTTCCCCCCATTTACAGCAGTTCATTGTTTTGCCCCCCTGCTGGTACTCCTGTCTGTTTCTCCAAACTGGGGGCGTGCTGACCGACATGTACTGTTGCCAATACACTGACAATGGATAGGTACCTCATAAAACCCCACTTCAAACAATTAAAACTAAACTAACTGGTCTAGCAGATTTTGTAGATGCGTGTTTCAAAAGGGTGATTGGGTTTTAATGCACACAACTTCTGAAATATGCGTGGCTCAACAAAAAAAACACTTTAAATAATTCAGTGAGTATAAACATTTAATTACTGGTTTAGATTTGATCCTTTGGGGTAGAGAAACATTACGTGTTGTTTTGCTGGTGGGGTAAACCATTTCAGCTAATTTGCTGATGCTGATCTGGTTTCCAATGGGACCTTCATTAGAAGGCACATCAAGACACATTTTTTAATGTCCCTGTATTTTAAATCCTACCACGAGGTACATTTCTCGTAAAAAATCCCTATTTGGAGAGATGGTGAGCATTGAGCTTCATAACACCAGCCTCCCTGTTGCTGATGGTGCTGTGTTAGTTAATGTGTGTCACACAAACAGCAAAAAGAAAGTGCCCCACTTCCTGTTACATAGGAAAAAATATCATTGACTTGTCCTCCAATTTCATATGTTCTAGGTTATGGAGGCAAAGTTACCCAAAATAGCTATGTTTATGTTTATATGTGGCAGTGATAAAATAACCTTTAGCATAGGTCAAGGAGATAAATAAAAAGCATGACACTATGTTTACACACACATACACACTGTCTTTCTCTCACACACATACACAAACCATGTAATCCTATCAACGGCTCAGAATGACTGATCCTTCCCAATTCTCAACACTAAAACAGAGTGTAAATATTGGCCCCGAAACATCCCTCAGCTACGCATTATGCAGACTGTCGTTTTTTTAGTTTTTTTTTACCTCTTTCTCATTCTGTGTCACAGACACAAAAACTGTGTGTGAGTAGCAGCTGCAAAACATTCAGGAAGATATTTCGAGATTCAAACCATGACTCTAAACATTTTCTAGCAAAAATGTTCTTTCCAGTTCGTCCTACTTCTTTTTAGCTGCCCTATGAAAAGTGTGGCCTATAATCATACATTATACTCCATTAGTACAATCTAAAATCAGGTTTCTTTTGAGGGAACTCAAAACTGTCTCAGTTTGATGCAAGTTTCCCTGAGATCAGCTCTTGAATTGTGCGGTGAACTCAACTAATTGTAAAAGTTCAGCTGTAGTTTGGAGCTGGGGATAAAAGAAAAAAGATAACAGCGCCTTTGTCGAGCGCACTGAAAGACACCATGGTCATCCGGACACAATAGGATCTCTCATGGGTTTCCACAGATCTGCCTGACAGTGCAGCCCATCCCTCACAGCCTCATTAGCACTATAGAAATAGATAGCGTCTGTTGTGTGGAGTGGAGTTGTCCTTGTGCATTTGGACAGCCCTCTCCCAGTTAATCAATATCCCTTATTGTCTCTCTGATCACTGGAACGATCCTCTCTGTCGGCTCTTTAGAAGAAGTGGCTGGGTTGTTTTAAACTAAATAGATTATCAGCCTTGTCTTGTTTTTCCCTCCTGTCTGTATTGGGGGATTGTGTGTGTGCTTGCTTGTTTGTTTGTGTGAATATCAATGTTCATTTCTAGGATGTAGAAGCTGTCTGTTGAATGAATGCACAGTCAGGGCACACAGCATTCATCGGTTCTGTTTGTTAAACTGACAAACGAGTAAAAAAAGAAAGAGTCATCTCTCTTTCTACCACTTTAATTCTGTCATCTCTCTCTCTTTGCGCAATGTGAAATAGAAATGACACTATAATTGGGACTGAGGCAGTAAACAGAGGAGAGCAGTGATTGAAGCGAGTGAGAGACAATGAGGAAGATTATGAGAGGGAGGGGAAAGGATTATTCTGTGACACCCGAATCTGTCTGTGCTGCTCACTGAGGTTGGCTGGAAGGACTTTCACGTGTGTGTGTGTGTGTGTGTGTGTGTGTGTGTGCGTGCGTGCGTGCGTGCGTGTGTGTCTGTGTGGAACAGAAGCAGGTAATAATGTTATTACATGTTAGACGCTTTTATCCAAAGCGACTTACATACTCAATACTGTGGGCAATCCCCACAGGAGCAATTTGGGGTGAAGTGTCTTGATCCAGGGACACAACGACATGCTGACTGCAGTGGGGTTTGAACCTGTGACCCCCTGGTCCCAACACCAAGGCTCTATCAACACGCCTCCCTGTTATAATAAAAACGATAGACTCTTACGCTCTATGAAGGTAATATCAATCTAAACCAGACGGATATAACGTTATCTGTGGCAAACTGTATGCTTATAGATTTCCTCTAATATTGCTTCAGTTGTTTGTTTTATTAAACGTGTGCCAATTGTGGGGGAAACTTCTGTGTAGCAATGCAGGAGGAGTCACCGACTCAGGAAGGAGACACGGGGAGAGCTGGAGCTTTGATGTCAAACACTGATGGTTTATTTAGGAGCTTCGGCCGGAGAATTCACAAAACAAGTCCAAGAGTCAGAGGTTCTGACTTCACGGTAGAGTTGCCACATCAATTCTGAAGAACTCTACCCCAGAGCCATGTATTTAACTAGTTCAGAGAGAATAATCAACATGGTGCATAACAAGATAGAATCATAACACTTCTATCAGCTGACGCCAACAGGCAGGAACAGGGAGACAGAACACTGAGAGCACAGCAGCCAAGGTTACAGGTGCGTGTGCTCAGTCAGGACAGTGTGAACTGATAAACTGGGTCAAAGTTATGGGCCTTGGAAAATATTTCCCCAACACCAATCATCTGGGTTACCCTTTTTTCTCTTTCCGTTTTCTGTTCATGTCTGCAGTATTTATAATTTGAAATGGTTTTTTGATTTGATCACAGTTCATGTTTTATCACTGTCTGGTGCCAGAGTTGAGTGTGTTTCCTGTCTATCATCTAACACCTCACCCCCATGAGGAATCAGAAGCATGTTGTCTGTTCAGAGCTTATACACACATCCATGTCTTTAGATTTTGACCATTCTACTAACAGGGGAATTATTTCATTTTCAAGCTGATTGTGATTGCAAGAATGTGTACAAGTCTAAATAAGTGCAGTATGGTCAGAAAGATTATGAAAGAAATAGACTCAATTACATGGTGAGTATTGGCAGTTTTCTTTTGCTGTTTTAGAAGCTACTATAGGTACTTTTTTCCCTCTCCTGAGATACATTAATTGGTATCATTTACTAAATGAAAGTGTTTTTTACTTTATTTCAGACCCTTTTAGCCCTTGGATCAACAACTAATACCAAATGACCATAACTACCAATATCAGTTTACTTTCTATCATTACATTTCTGTTGTTATTGTGGCCATATTTTCTTGAGATGTATGATTAAATATGGATTTAATAGAGTGTGTGTGTGTGTGTCTTTTACAGAATTGAGCACCTGAGCCTGAACATGGCCATGCAGCTGCTGGTGGGAGTCCCTCTAGAAATGGTCCACGGAGCCCTGCGGATTGGATTGGTCTACGTGTGTGGTGTGCTGGCAGGTGGGCCTGTCCTCTCACACACACATGCAACAATTACAATCCCACTTATGCCGACATTTCCCTGCCTTTTATCTACACACTCACTCTACCCCAGAGACAAAACAAACACACACTATAGAGTTTAGCCTTTCCACTGCATCGTTGTTCCATCTGCTTGTTGTATGTTTTTCGTGAATTGAACGGCCTATCAAGTTGCAGACGGCCTGTTGGTGGACACTGGTCAATGAGAACATTTTGATTGTGTGAGTGTGTGCGTGGGGTGTTCAAGATCAGGGCAGATGGCCTTGTGTTTCTGTTTTCATGGCAGACGTGCTGGGATGTAGGGGGTTGTCAGTGCCCCATCAAAGCCTTTTCATCCCCCTACGGTCATGTACAATAGAGCAGAGCAGAGAGAGTGAAATCTCAAATGGAGCCCAATCATAAGAACACAATCAGGAGAACACACAAGCACACACACATGGTATTAGTGAAATAGCAGGGTCAGTGTGAAATGTAGGGATGAAGAGGGGGAAGAGGGGAGATGGATTCATAAGTGTTAATAAGTCTGAGAGGGTTTGGAGAGGGGGACCAGGATATGAGAAACGTGGGGATGGGAGAGAAGTGGAAGTGGGTGAGATTAGGGAGAAACAGAGCGAGCAACTGCATATATGAAAGAGAAGCAAGCACACAGCGAAATGTTACTTCTCCATTCCTACTTCCCTGTCAACCTCAGGCACTGGGGCAATATCAGGATTGAGCCTAGTTCAGCAGAGAATGTAAGCTCTGATTTTCTTTACTGAAGAAGTACAAACAACAGTCATCCACTCCACCATGTATTTGTGTCATTCACCCCATAACAAATATTGTAGGAATAAAAAAAAGTATTTGGTTCCCAGGGATGACACTATCAGCTTTGAGGTTGCTGGAGTGGAATCATTGGGATACTTTTTGAAATCAGTGTTTTCAGCCGAAATCGTGATGCCTTGTGGCAGTGAGTAGGGGATGTGTATTGGGTGGTACTGATGTCAAGGGACAGGAGAGAGGATTGTGGAATATTAATTGCAGATAGTGAGATTTTATATAAATATTCATGAAAACGATGTGTCTATTTCTCTCTCTCCATGTCTGAGTGTGTGTGTGTGTGTGTGTGTGTGTGTGTGTGTGTGTGTGTGTGTGTGTG